TCCTGGTCACACAGCGGAAGTGTTCACCCAGATTGAGCTGGAACTCTCTGGAGGTGGACTGGCCCCAGGATTGGACGACAGAGTCTCTCCGAACAGTTCTCCCACATGGATGATGGCGTCTCCTTTGTAATGGTTCAGACAGTCGGTAGACAATGTGGAGGACTCTGTAAAAAAAGTGTGTAAAACATTGACATGAAAACTAACGGCAAATCAGGTACGAGCAACTGGATAGCAGATTAAGAGGCTGTAAAAGAACATTGCTGGTATTAAACTACTAGTACATGTACTTTTCTATGAACATCAGAAGGAAATTTACATTAGAAAGATTTGCAGCTTTGTGCTGTGATAGCAGGCTCGTGATAGTCAACATAAAAGTACTCATCTAATACATTTTGTACATGCGTCTAAGCAATACATGTATAACAAATGTTTGTGCAGTTATCAGTCAATATAATGACTCACATAGACTCACCATCTGCATCTGGCCATGCCAAAAACAGCACTCGTTCGCCATGTGACACTAAGACTTCCGGTCCTCCTTTCTTAAATCAAGTAATGGAAAAAGGTTTAAAAAAAAAAAAGCATACGAAGGTTTGCAAAGTGCACTAACAACTATGAGGTCTTTAAATTCATTGGAGGACTTCTAAAAATCCATGTAGTACACATTTTTTTCTATTTCTCTCAACTTTGATTTTAAGTATGGTTCTCGTTTGCTGCACGATATGCCATGTAGAGCTAATAAATGTTTGTTGTACTAGGTTCAAATATACCTGTGTGTATAGAAAAGGATTTCAAGTTTCTTACTTTAACATCGATATAACGCAGACCCTCTGGATACAGTTCATTAGAATCGAATGCTAGGATGTCACACCCTCTCTGTTGCAGGAGAAATTCCCAGTAGCCCACACCCTACAAGAAAATTAAACAAAGTAAATTCCTAGCACACATGGCAATGTTATAGACATATTTCTATTATGTCAGCACTTTACTGAAGATAGTAGATCACTTCAGTCAGGTAGGAAGATCCCTTCCAGTTGAGGCCGCTCATCCATTTACCAAATCGTCATTGGCGCAGACAGATACAGTGCAGTTCAGTAGATCACTCCTACCCTCCCCTGAGTGTAATTTATACTGTAGTGATTGAGCCACTGGAAAGTAGGGCATCCCTGCAAAAGGGTTTTCCAAGGGTTTCCAGGAACTTCACTAAGTAGGACTGTGGGCATAGATGTGTGTCAGAAAAATTCCAGGGCTGTGAGACATACCTATGGACATTCCATGCCTGTGGACAAACTTCCTGTACAATCCCTAGAATTCTTTCAAACTGCACACTGTACTATTAGGTTCCCCCAGAGGCGTCGCCAAAAAAACGTAGCAAGAAAACAACAGCCGAAGCCTAACAATATTGCTCGTGTGTTACAAATCACGTTACAAACCGCTCCAACAGATACAAGCGGACGCTTCAACCCAACGATGAGATCTAAAGCCTGTCGACTCGGAACCGAGAACGCGAACAGGAGTTGCAAGTTGAGCGGCGAAGTGCGATCGTCGCGGTCTCGGTTCCATCTTGTTAGGGCTTCCCTCTCCTTCTGATCCAAGCTAGGGTCCGAAAATCTGCGTGCGCTGGGATTCTGTGCCATTTTGGCTTGGTAGAACATGAGATAAAGATTTTCCCCTCCACTTTTCCGACTTGCTATCGAATCCAGTTTTGAAAAGTCTGCGTTTTCCGCCATGTTGATGTGAAAGAATACACTAAATGCAGGGGAGAAAAATTTTATCTTCATGATCTTGACTATGATAACATATCTGATACTTTGACAAGTAATAATCTTATTGCAAGTACTTATATAGTGTTTTAAAGTATAGTTTATGGTATCTGTGTTTCGATTGAACGTATATAATTTTCTAGCTTTTACTGCCCCCCCCTCCCCAAGTAAAGTGTAGTGCGCTGATTATATTTTCCCACTAGGCTGTGCGAAAAAGAAGACCACCAGGAAAGCGTGAAAAATGGCGTCCCGAACGTTTGGACAAAAACCGGCTTCATTCGCGTTGGAGGATGGCGGGGAGAAGTACATGATAGGCTCGGAGGTAAGCTACTGTTATAGAATAAGTATTAACTCGGCGAAAAGGAGCGATCTCTTGTTGTTTTGGCACGCGAGCTGTAGTGCCAGAAAAGCCTTTGTTCTGAAGGGGGAGGGGGGCGAATGTTTTTGCTTTCAGATCACGTTTTAGTTTCAGCTTCCATTCCGCTTGTAAAAGACTCAAAATCGGAGGCAATTTTTATATTTCAGTGAAGGGCACATTTTGAGGTTTTCAAGTGTCAAGACTCTTGGAATAGTTCACATTTTTATTGGTGAGGACGCCCACCTTAAAAAAATCACCCATAATGTAATTTATGGCTAAATTGTGTATAAATTATGCTTGTCTATCATCCTAGTAAACCAAACTACAGGAATTCTATGTGAGCACATTTAGATTTACTCCACACTACAGCATATACTAAAGAAATTGCTAACAAGTAAGGCAACAACCTCTCGACACACCCCTAGACAACCTCTAGACACATAGTAGATAGTAGATAGTAGATCCTTTCAGCCAGGTAGGTATCCATCCAGTTTAGGCTGCTCGTTGCTCTACCGGACTGTCATTCCCGGCCTATGCGGGCAATCCAGGGCCGTGTGATTGTACATAATTGGATGACTCTCCATGTATTTATCAAGTCTGTTCTTGAAGGCATTTACCGAGGGTGCAGAGACCACTTCTTCAGGAAGACTGTTCCACCAGTTGGCCATTCTGCTTGTAAAGAATAATGCCCTTGTATTCCCCTTGAAGGTCTTCCTTATTATTCTCAAGCTATGACCTCTTGTCCTTGAATCTGCTTTTTGTTGGAACAGGTTCTGTGTGTCAAACAGACCATGCATGTATTTGTATGTGTTGATTAGGTCTCCCCTAATTCTCCTGTAGACCAATGTTGGGAGTTTCAGAGTTCTGAGTCTATCCTCGTAAGAAAGGTTGCTCAACCCCGGAACTCTTTTTGTGGCCCTTTTCTGGACTTTCTCTAATTCAAGCATCAGATTCTGTCTGTACGGAGACCAAACAGAGGCTCCATATTCTAAATGTGGCCTAATCAGGGCTTTAAAAAGCAGGAGAAATACTTCTTGATCGATAAACTGGAATGTTCTCCACAGTAGTCCTGTTAACTGGTTTGCCTTGTTTGCAATTGTGTGTATATGGTCC